ATTACTCACCAGCACCTGTTGATTGCCTAGCATCTCTGACGGGGAGGAGAACTGTTTGTAAACAAAACAGTTCTCCTCCCTGTCAGCTCGTGCACACCGCTTTGGATGCCTGTGCAGAGCAGTGTGATTACAGTGAAGCACACATACACAGCTTACAGTAAAGCAGACAACAGTTAACCCTTTGATCGCCCACTCATGTTAACTCCTTCCTGCCCAGTGTCATTACTGTAGTACACATGTCAGTACTTTGTTTTAGCACTGATCACAGTTTTGGTGTCACTGGGGATGTCAGTGACACCAAGTCAGTTCCACCTAGTGTCAGAATGCCCGCTGCAGTCCTGCTATAAGTTGCTGATCACCGCCATTACTAGTAAAAATGAAAAAACAATAAAAATTCCAGTATATATACACTGTCATTTGTAAATGCTATAACTTTCATGTAAATAAATTAATTTACGCATATTGGGATTTTTTTTTTCAGCAAAGACATGTAGCAGAATACATTTTGGCCTAAATTTATGCCGAAATTAGATTTTTTAAATTTTTTTTACTGGACATGTTTAATAGCAAAAAGTCAAAAATATTGTTTTTTCTCAAAATTGTTGATTTTTTTTTTATAGCGCAAAAAATAAAAATGCACAGGCAATAAAATACCACCAAAAGAAAGCTCAATTTGTGGGGAAAAAAGGACATACATTTCATTTGGGTGCAGCGCTGCATGACCGTGCAATTGTCAGTTAAATTAACGCAACACAGTAACGCAAAAATGGCCTGTTCAGGAGGGGGGGGGGGGGGGGTAAATCCTCAGCAGGGTAAGTGGTTAATTGAACAAGCTGAAGTTAGAAACTGATAGGCTACCATGCACAGCTGCACCAGTTTTAACACTCTCCAGTTTTAATAAATCAACCCCATTGCTATGAGGATATACTTTGATACTCCACTCTGTGCAGTAATACAAATCAAAAGAAAGACACCAAACAATCCACTTCTTGTAAGTGACTATCTGTAAGCACAGACACCCATCAGCCAGTGCTCCCCTCAGTGAGACTTTTACTAGACTCATATGAGCATGATATTATACATGGTCAAGTTATTCCTAAAGGGTTAAGTAATCCCAGTCTCAGATGCACCGGCACACACACATCCTTAGAAATGCTCATAGGTTTCCTCAAGATGGTAACATGAAGAAAAAGAAACAACTCACATAGGGTAATAAGGTTAAAACATTCAATTTATTAAAAAGGAAAGTGCACACTCACGTAATGATGCCAGATAAAGCAGCATCACAATAAATGCATACAGTCAGCAAAACTTTCCATTCAGTCTGACTTCCAGTAAAACTTGCATGATGACATCAAGCCCACCCAACGTGTTTCGTTATAGTAGACATCATCAGGCAGAGTGGCCATTGGATGTATTTTGTATAATTTTCTGGTGCTGAATTTTTCTTTAATAATAACAGTGGAAACCTAACCTAAAAACATTTTCCATAAACTGGTCCTACATTTCTGTGCCATCTAGGAACAATGCATAGCTGGTAACAACAATGAACACCCACAAGGAGGTCAGTGCGCACCCTCTTCTTCTTCTTGGAATTGACTTTGAATAGTGGTGTAGTCATACAGCCAGTTTGGCATGCACCTATCCAACCTGCCTCAGTAATCTATCTTCAGTGTAGACATCTTTTCTCTACAAACTAACATAAAATTCAGATTCATGACAAGGATTGCAGGTTTGATTAGAAGTGGATTGGGAAAATGGTAGATCCAACAGGGGTCAGTTTTACTCTCCTCTTAAAAGCCCATTATTATATTACCTGTACATTAGTAAAGAATTTGAAATATGCAGAGCACATTTGGTTCTGGCCAAGATCTTGCTTGTCCATGTGTTAATGGTATTCTTCGCCCAATGCGGAGAAGCCCAGACTGGTAATATGGAACGGTGGTCATTTGTTGAAGGGCTACAGTGTCTGCTAATATTACCTTTGGTATGAGTTCCAGTGAGCTGCTCACAATGCCTGCTTCAGTTTATCAGGAAAATACATGACAAGCTGTGTACGTTCCTATTTGTCCCTTAGGTCTTTGATCTATTGATTATGTGGTCACATTATATTAAGATTATAGACTTATTCGGCCAACCAATCCTCCCAAATTAGATCCAGGATGCTAGACCCTCTTGGGCAAAACTGGAAACCCTGAAGAAAATAAAAGAGCTGTTGTTGGTGAACTGTAAAAGACATGCAGCAAGTGTCTCAAGTCTTGGCTAGGGCAACGTTTTTGATTTGCATACCTTTTCTAGGTCAATAGATAAAAGTATTGAGGTGGTTTGATCAGCATGGCAGTCAGGTAATTAGCATTCCTAGAAGGAAGTCAACAGTGGGTGCCCAGGCACTGTATTTCTCTCAGTACAGGTTTCCTTTAACGTTCAACATCATATATAGTTATGGATAGAGTAGTGAAGGGTTAGAACCCCTGTCATGTTTTGTAATTGCTCTACTTTAACCAGAACGAGCGCAAAGTTTACACATAGACTTCTCAATTTGACACAATTGAGATGTGAGATTTGGCTACAGTCTCATGCCAACATTCCTGGTAGTATTGCCGACAGTAAGAAAAGGTGTGTATGGAACTTAAGACAGGTACATAGACAATGCCATATTAAATTAAAAAAATGTGTACTTCATTGGTACAATGATCATAAAGCAGTTCTAACATTAAACCACTGGGGCTGATTTACTAAAACTGGAGAGTGCCATATCTGGTGCTGCTTTGCATGGAAACCAATCTGTTGTCAGGTCTTTTGTCAAAGCTTAACTGAACAAGCTGAAATTAGAAGCTGATTGGCTACTATGCACAGATGCACCAGATTTTACACTCTCCAGTTTTAGTAAATCAACCCCACTGGCTGGTATTACTCAATTGCATTCACCCAAACCATGTCTGTTCACTCCCCATTCCACAGATTCAATTCATATGAGTTGCATTGCTTGCATGTGTAGCCATTACTTTTCCAAAGAATCTTCTTCAGGGGTAGGACTAGTAAACCCATATCTACAAAACAGACATATTGTAAATTAAACAGACAAATATTACAAAAAATCCATCATCTTACAGGTTGACAGTGTGGTAAGTACTTATCAGACTGGTATGAAAAAACAATCCCAGCCTGTGGATCCAAAGGGTGCCTGGACAGAAGTGAGGAGACCAGAATGCTTACAAGGACCCAGGAGATTCAAGTCAGTCTTCACGGGACTGAGATTGAGCTCTGCAGTCACTTCTGCAGTAGTTGTTTTCCTATTCCTGGTCACAATCCTGCACAATGCCCTTTTGTCTCTTTTGGTCAGTTGACCATGTCGACTGTGCTTATCAGATGACGTTTTCCTGTAACCTGTCATAACTTTTGATACTGTACCTTGCGACGTGGGAAATAAATTGGCAACATCAGTCACAGAGGCACCAGCTAAGCGGCACCAACAATTTGCCCTCTTTGAAGCTCAGTAAGCTCTGACATTACTAGCAGCACACTAAGCGAATGATGAAAGTGAGGCTTTCCATTTGTTAGCTAGGTGTCTCATCACACAGCAGAAGCAAAATAAAAGTTACATCATTTCCGCTTTCAGCGCAAAATATCTTGTCACTTTCGCACCTGCAAATCTTGGTGTGTTTCTATTTTTTTCTCTAACCTCTAGGTTAATATTCATACATAATAAGAAGAATCTAAACATCAACCTATCCCTGCAGAAATACTGTATAACCCCTTGCATCAATACCCTCACCCAGTTATTTATTGCCGTGTTTGAACCGGAGGAAGCACAAAGTCAGGTGTAGCTGTGCAAAGACTAAAGAATATGTGAACAGAACGTTCACAAAAAAAAGCGGTTACATAAAAGGACGATGCGTGAATAGTGTATAAATGCTATTAATATCAAAAAGTATATGCATACTATATCAAATGTTACAAATATTGTAATCGTCTACATAGGTAACCATCACCTCACCTCAAAATAAAATCTGTGTGACTTAAAACAAATATTAAAAATGACGTCATGGTATGGCCATATATGATGTAATAGTTGCTAAAATGACAGTCACATCCGTCTACTGTCGAACTTCAGCATACACATCAGGTGTAGCATGTGGATCTACCAGAATTGCCTAGTAGACAATGCTATTTTCAAAATGTCACTGGAAATGTGATATACTGATAGGCAGTCCAATCACATAATAGTTTATGCAAATCCAGAGTGGAGTTGGATATGTGGCTCAGTCCAGTGGATGGCAAGACGGGTTTAGTAAGGCATGCATAAGCAGCAATATTGCCATTCACTATGTGAGGCTGGCGGCATAATTATGGGTAATGAGATAACATGAAATCCCAAATTGCTGGTACGCACAAAACGAACCAGGGTACTCCAGTATGTATCGTCCAGTGTAACTGAACTGACAGGATGGTCCTTGTTGGTAATATATGGCCTTTGTGGAGAGCAGTAACCCTATGGTTAGTGGTTTACTGTCCTTTAAACAGTGCCGTTGCACATGAGTAGACAGGGTATGTACACTCACCACCAGCCATTACCAAGAGTATGGGAACTCACCCTTGCTGCAGATAGATAGGTCTTCATGGAAAGCCATAAAGAAGACCCAAGATGTGCAAAGAAACCAATCAGCTTCCGGGTTTTATTGTCAAACCGTAATTGAACAAAATGAACTTAGAAACTGATTGGCTACCATGCACAGCTGGAATATGTGGGGTCCGGTTTTAGTAAATCTCTCCCATAGACTTCCTTATTTGAGTGACACCTGCTTCTGGGAGGAACCACCTTGTGGATTGCCACCAAGCTCAAGCCATCTGGCTTTATGAAGGACTTCTTAGACTATTAGTTGGGGATACTTATCCAGCACCTTTCTTACTTAGGTTTTTTGCAGTTTTTGTCTCTGTTGGGGAGATCCTTCCTCACTTCTTGCCCCTGTGAAATTATGCCCTGTCACACACTGATGATCAGTGTAGCCCCTCAGTGCCACCTGTCAGTGTCCATTAATGCCACCTGTCAGTGCCCATCAATGCCACCTGTCAGTGCCTACCAGTGCACATCAATGCCACACAACAGTGCCCATTCAGAGCTGCCTTTCAATGCCACCCATCAGTGCTGCCAATCAGTGCCACCTAACAGTGCCAGTCAGTGCCACCTAATAGTGCCAGTCAGTGCTGCCTATCAGTGCCATATATGAGTGCTGCCTTTCAGTGCCCATCAGTGATGCCTGTCAATGCCTATCAGTGCCACCTACCAGTGCAGCCTTATTAGCACATATCAGTGAAGGAGAAAAATCGCTTATTTACAACATTTTTGGTTTGTTTAGCAAAAAATAAAAAACCCAGAGGTGATTAAATACCACCAAAAGAAATCTCTGTCTCAAAAAAAATGATAAAAATTTAATTTGGGTACAGTGTTGCATGACCGCGCAAGTGAGACAGCACTAAAAGCTGAAAATTGGCCTGGACATGAAGGGGTATAAGTGCCCTGTAGGCAAGTGGTTAACTGCTAGCCTACAGGGCACTTATACCCCCTTCCTCCCCAGGCCAATTTCCAGCTTTCAGCGCTGTCACACTTTGAATGACAATTGTGCGGTCATGCAACACTGTACCCATATGGATTTTTTAGCATTTTCTTGAGACAGATAAAACTTTATTTTGGTGGTATTTATTCACCACTGGGATTTTAATTTTTTTTGCTATATAAATGAAAATGTCACAAAATTAAAAAAAAAAGTGTTTTTCTTATAACATTTTGCAAATAAATAATCTTTCTTCATAAATCTTGGCCAAAATGTATTGTAATCTTTTTTAGTAAAAAATATAACCCAAATTAGTTTATAACCAAAAATTATAATTTTTCTAAATTTTTTTTACATTTTTATTTTATTTTATTTATCACGCTGGTGCCTCCCGGCCCTTTTAAGGGTTCCAGAAGCTGGGAGGCGGTGCGGGGTTTAGGGTCATGTGACCGCCGTGACGTGCACGTCACGGCGGTCACATGATCAGGAAAGGTCCAGATCGAAAGAGGAGATCGGGACCTTTCCGTGAGTACCGGACATGTGCGCTGGGCTGGGAGCGCACAGGGCGCGCAATCTCGGCACATATGTCCTTTTTTAATAGAACGCAAATGTGCGGCCGCTCAGCGTCTAGGCCGCACATTTGTGAAGAGGTTAATCTCCATTGGAGAGATTTCTGTTTAAATCCTGAACCATTGATAAGTGGATGAAAATGAGCCCAATGAGGAGACCCAAAAGAATTAAAACTTGGCAGAGTTTCCAACCCTTCCTCAGTCTATCAAAACTTTTAAAAAAATGTATGCTTTAATTAGTCAGCTACATTTGTTTAACACAACTCATTAGAAATAAAAATCTTTGAGTGACTCGCCTTAAAGGTCTTTTCCATTTGTTGCCGTCAGTTGCCCTGAACGTCTACCCCTCCTCCAGAATTAGAACTAGCAAGTGAAGGCGCACTTAAATAGCTCAAGAGATGGGTTTATCAGTAGCAAAATTAAAACTAAAGAAACCGATCTATGTGGATTGTAATTAATAGACTGTCCTGCAGATAGATCAATAATTCTGATTAGAGGTGTAATGGGAAAATCTATGGTAGGCTGTGATTAGTTTCTGCAAAGGCTGGAATCTCTCTCCATCACAAGTTTTGTTGTTTGATTTATGCCTCTTCTATGATGGCTGGATGCTCAGCAGGTCTTAGCTCTGTATGTGATGGGTCAGCCGGGAGCTGTGTCAGCTAGCAGCGGGGTGTATGAAAGGTAGGCTTAGCAGGAGAGGGAGCTGACTTAGGCCGCTAAAGGAAAAGACATATTAGCATACCCCGGGGAAAACCTGCTGCCAGCGCTCTGTCTGGAATTTGTGCTGCGCTCAGCCTTCCTGGAGAAGTGCTTTTACCATACATAACTCTGCCGCCTTTCCAAACTTTCCTGGCCACAGTAACCAGCAGCCCTGTTCTATAAAGTACAGGAAAACAGAGCTTTGTCCTGATGAATATTATGATTGCTGCGGTAATTCAAAGTCAATCAATAAAACACTAAACCAAACAAACATGGAGGTACAAGATTTAGGGATATATATATATATATATATATATATATATATATATATATATAAACCGAGGTACGCCTGTATGTAACTGTGTATATATATATATATATATATAAAAACCGAGGTATGTATGTAACTGTGTATATATATATATATATATACCGAGGTACGCCTGTATGTAACTGTATATATATATATATATATAAACCGAGGTACGCCTGTATGTATGTGTGTATATATATATATATATATATATACACACACACACATACATACAGGCGTACCTCGGTTTACGAACCCCTCGGTTAACAAATTTTCGGTTTACGAATGAAAATCCATTGAAAATAATACCTCGGTTTACGAATTTTTTTTCGCAATACGAAGTAAGTTTCCCCATGATGCATTACACCTGGGCGGTTTATAGCATTGGCCCCGTGCCTTTAACCACCTCCCACCCGCCATATAGTAATATGACAGGCGCAAGGCGGTTCTCTCGTTCTGGGAGGGCGTCATATGCCGTCCTTCCATTCTCACTGCGCATGCGCGGCTCAGGGAGCGCGCAGTGCTGCGATTGGCGGTGCGCTGTGTCCCTTGGACACAGCGGATCACCGAACATGGAAAGAGCCGAAGATGTTGGCTCGGTCATATGATCAGCTGTGTCCAATCACAGCTGATCACATGTAAACAGAAAATGCCGGTTATCAGCATTTCTCTCCTCACGAGCTGTCACGCTGACAGCTGGAGAGGAGAGCCGGTAATCAGCTTTCCGCGGAGGGGACATGTACACTGATCATCAGGGCACTGATGATCAGTGTGCCCTGATGATCAGTGTAGCCCCAGCAGTGCCACCTGTCAGTGTTCATCAGTGCCTTATGTCAGTGTTCATCAGTGCCTCGTGTCAGTGCCCATCAGTGCCATATATCAGTGCCTACCAGTGCACATCAATGCCACATATCAGTGCCAGTCAGTGCCACATATCAATGCCAATCAGTGCCACCTATCAGTGCTGCCAATCAGTGCCACCTATCAGTGCCGCCTATCAGTGCGCATTAAATTGGAAAATGCATTTGATAACTAGGTGGCAATAAGTATCATAGGAATTTCCAATGATACTTAGCACCATCTAGTGGCTATGCAAAAATTCACACCTTAAGGTCATCCGCTTGATCCTGACTTTATAAGCAACTAATCTAAAGCAATCATGCAGCCAATGAAGTTAAAGAAGTCTGAATTAGGGAATAGATGAACATACCTGGGTTCGGTTTGCGGGTGATTCACCAAACTGTGATGAAGTTCTGAAGGTTAATCCAAACCCCATTTAAGTCAATGCCAGTCAGGTGTGTTTAAAATACATTTTGGCCATTTTCAAGGCTAATAGGTAAGGGGTTATCAAACAAAGGGTGTGGGAGCTGAGTAGAACCCTGGGGGACTTGTCCCAATGCATTAAAAAAAACAAATATCAATTGGAGGGTAACAGCAATTTTTATAAGTCCAACACTAAAAATGCCCAGCTCCTTTACATATATCATGCTTTGGGATGCCCTAATATTGCCTGTGAAGTGTCAGGTCAGGATGTGTATGATGTACTACTGGAAAACTGACATTTAAGAAAAAGCATAATATCATTTAAGTTCGTTGTAAATTACATTACCAGCTGCCTCCTCATCTTGTAGTGGAAGAGCTCGCAGCTCGTTGCCGAGATTCGGAGATTATAAAATGGTTCTCTAATGCAACCATCCTAAAAATACAAAAAAAAAAACCTCCAAAAAAACTGCAAGCGGGTATTTATTTTGATGTAATAAAACTGTTTGGGATCAGCATAATATTTATCATTTCATAGATACGTGTACAGAGCTTCTCATCCTCAAGCTGAAGATGCCATTGGGCTGTAGAGAACATTGACAGTATGACAGGAGCATTTTAGGGGTTAAAGGATAATTAAACCCAAGAACAAAAATTGTACATACTGCAGCTTACCAGTGCTTTTTTTAAGAGCATTTTCCGCAAGTGCAGAAAAAACCTATTGAACTTGGTAATATTTCAATTATTTTTTAGATTTAAATGTACAAGATATCAGCTTTATGTCTATAACCTGGTAGGCGGGTGCAGTCTGTATTCTCCACTGCAGGTGGTACTCGGCTGCAGTGGCAAAGCAGATGGGGAAGGAAGTAGAGAGGAACTTGGTTACTCTGATTTCCTCGGTCATAAATGGGCAGTTATCCGATTGGATGCTGATGCCCCATGTGACTATGGCAGCCATCTTGGGTAGGGCAGAGTCTATTTAGGGCTCTGACTCTCAGGTTTAGTGCACGTTTTACAAGTGGCTAGTGTAAGGACAGGTTCCCCATCTGTCAGGGACAGTGCTTAGAGACAGGGACAGGTTCTGGAGGAGTAAGGAGAACGTAGAGATTATGTCTACCTCTTCAGGAAGCTTCCCCTTGGGTTGGACTGGCCAGGCTGCATTCTGCTCCTCTTGGCATCTACAAGTCCACAGACCGCTGAGAAGTTGTAAGTGGCACCAGAGAGGTGATCCTTCTGCTGGGCCTGGTTGTACTTGCCAAACCTTTCCAATAAATAGTTTTTTTGACAAATTGGGACTCTATACTGTATGCTTACTGCCTGCCACACCACGCTGCACCCACCTTACAACCTTATCAATGTGTTCATTTTTTGGTGAATAGTTAATATTTAATAGTTAATATTTTGGAAATTGGTTATATATGTAATATATACACCAAGATACGCTCCTTCCTTACCCCAGACACCACTAAACTACTAGTACACTCCCTGATTATCTCACACCTCGACTACTGCAACTCTCTCCTCACCGGCCTACCCCAGTGCAGGCTCTCCCCGCTTCAGACCATCCTGAACTCAGCGGCTAGACTCATCCACCTCACCAACCGCTCCACCTCTGCCACCCCCCTCTGCCTATCTCTCCACTGGCTCCCTATTGCCCAACGCATCAAATTCAAACTACTCACTCTGACCTACAAAGCCATTCACAACACTGCCCCTAATTACCTCACCAACCTGATTCCAGGTACCACCCTACCCGTACCCTTCGCTCTTCACAGGATCTCCTTCTATCTTGCTTCCTGGTCTCCTCCTCCCACGCATGACTGCAAGACTTCTCCAGGTCCTCCCCCATCCTCTGGAACTCACTACCCCAATCCATCAGACTGTCACCTTCCCTCCTCACCTTCAGGCGCTCCCTGAAAACCCACCTCTTCAGGGAAGCCTACCCCACCCTC